GATTCTAAACATTCAATTTCACCGTAACGACTGATTTGCCCCCTCGCACTTTTTATGCGTTTTTTTTGCAGCTATGCAGTGCAGAAAACGCATATTGACGATGGGTTGTCTGTGTGTGTGTGCCTGTGTATCCGTGTTTGCGTCTATCACGATTTTTCATCTCAAGACCTATAAAAGCTAAAGAACCGAAACTCTGGGAGCTCAATCTACATGCACGTACGGTCCCCAATCCCCAATATGGGCGCCCTTACCCGCATGGTACCCACATACGAGCCAGCCAAAGCTTTTATCGGGTAAGTCGCTAACTCGAGAATCTGAAAAGCTAGAAGGTCGGAATCTTAAAGGAATGCTCCCCGTCCAACTGAGTATTAATGAGCTCATATCCAGCCCCCGGGTAAGCGTGGTACTCGCGTACGAGCCCATCAAAGTTTTTTTAGGTAAGTCGCTAACTCGGGCATCTGAGAAGCTAGAAGACTGGAATTTTGAAGGGATATTTCCTGACAGTCCTGGCGGGCAGTCTGAAATTCTTTTAGCCAGAAGCATCTGCCGGAAAAACTAGTGTCGTTAGTGACAAAAATCTACGGCGAGCTACGCAAAAAATGCATCTTCTCACGGGCAGCCCGCGCGTCGGCCAATTATGCGTTTTGTGCTGTGTAACAGCAGTACAAAACACATATTGTCACGGGGTTGTCTGTGTGTGTGTGTGTGTCCGCAGCAACTTGTCCGCAACTTTCAATTCAGGAACCACAGAAGCTAGGAAGCTGAAAATTTAAGGTAACGTTCCCCACTCACGTGTAACACCGCAAATTTAAAATTCAGCTTCCCCGTACCCGCGGGTAACGCGTACGGCCCTGTGAAAGTTTTTTACGGGTAAGTTCCCCGTACCCGCGGGTAACGCGTACGGCCCTGTGAAAGTTTTTTACGGGTAAGTTAATATCTCAGGAACCACGGAGTTTAGAAGGCTGAAATTTTAGGGTAATGACCCCCTGCCCATCCTCAACCTTGCCCATTCAAATTCAGCCTTCTCTCACCCGCGGTTAACAA